GAAAAGTATTCTGTTGAAATGCAAAAAAGTATTACAAGGCTATGATTTTAAAAATTATCAGTTTGGACTAGTAGTTTAGGATAAAAGGAGATTATCAGTTTGGACTAGTGTACACTTAATCTATTTATGGAGAAAACATAAGTGAAAAAGGTTGAAGGAAGAGAAATTGAAACCAAGCTCAGTAATGATCTTCTACAACCACGGTTTCCGCGACCACCAACATTGATCCATTGCATTCTTTGAATCTTTTGAAAAAACAAAGGTTGGTCAAATTTAAAAGCAAACCAGACTAGGTCATGAGATTTTAAATTTCCGGTCAAAATAATCATAAAATTACTATTAAAGTAATTTAGAGCACACAACACAGAAGCTAATTTTGAGTCATCTGACAGATCTAGTTAGAACGGCAGAAGAAATCTTGCTAAAAAAATGAGTTTTGAATATTAGCTTGATGTAACAGCAGAAGAAAATACTTCTCAATGAATTGACAGGCGTCTTTAGAACAACTCTGGGTAGTGGATTGAGAGGGGAGATGTGTCGTAGCAAATCCAAAAAATCCAAAGTCAGTTATAAACATTTGGATGTATATACAAACTCGTTGCATGTTTCTTTAATGCAACGTTCACGAAATTGACAGCTCAAGCTCGACGACATTGATATTGTTCTTTACTATAAGCTATATAACTTAATATTCAAGAGAAAAATATATGAACTGCAATCTGTTTACAATTTTTGACACGTACAATCTTTGCATTTATGTATATATATACTAACATGCAAAGAAAGTTAATCGCATCAATTCCATCGATCTTTCCGTCCAAAATTTTCACCAAATTTCGATCTATAATCTTCTTGGTCAAGAGAAGATCGACCAACGAACTATCATGAGAACGACTTGTCGTTTAAGAAACATAAACCGCCATCATGCGGAAATCTTGTAACCATTCTCAGCCTCGACGGCGGTGGAATCAGAGGAATCATCGCCGGAGTGGTCCTTGATTATCTTGAAAAACAACTTCAGGTTATACACATACATCTCTATCCGTTACTCGATAACTTATTAGAGTGAAAAAAAAAAAAAAAATTATAACTTCGAAATTTGGATATAAACATTAATTTTCATGGATTCGGATTCGGAGTCATGTTTTAGTCTATTTCTTTTGAAAATAAATCTCTTCCCAAAAATATTAAATTAGAGAGACACAATAAAACTAACTTTATGTTCAAATTAACTACTGGCCTACTAAACTCAATTGATGTATAACGGCAAATTACTATACATCGACTAACCGGTTTTTCTACTCGTACTAGCTAGTTACTATGATGTTTTACAGATTTTCAACTTCAAATTTCCTTTTTTAAATTAACTGATAATGAATGAATTAACCAATGTTTTTATACATAGGAACTTGATGGAGAACACGTGAGGCTAGCTGATTACTTTGACGTGATAGCCGGAACTAGCACCGGTGGTCTCATGACGGCTATGTTAACCTTACCGGACGAGACCGGACGGCCTACTTTCGCGGCCAAAGACATTGTTCCGTTTTACCTTGAACATGCTCCCAAGATATTTCCGCAACCCGGGTAAGGAAATAATATAAAGAATATAGATAAATAAATAATATAAAGAATATAGAGAAAATCTTCAAAACACCACACTTTCAAGTTTTGTTTATAAAAAACCATCATTAATTTAATTATCCAAAAATACCACCAAAATGTTTGGTTTTCCAAAATACCGCATACATAAAATTGATTTGTAAACAAAACTTTTAAAATATGATATTTTTGATAATTGCCCAAATATATACATTAATTAGAAACGACAGTTATTATTAGATCTTTAATATACTTCAACGTAAACGTTAAAAACAAAAACAATAATAAGACTCTACCTCTATGAAAATAAAGTTACTTTTATTTTAAAAAATTTTAAAGAAACATATTCCTCAATAAAGGCATGCAATGCCGCGTAAATGCTGGCAAAACAACGTAAATGTTGGCAAAACAACCAAATAGAACATGAAATGTTTTTTGTCTTTGTAGAAGTTAGAACAAGTAGAATATATGTTATGTCGTCCCATACAACTTTAATTTGACATTTTAATTTATTTATTTTACCTTTTTTCTAATGCAGATTCTGGTCTTCTTGGAGACCAAAGATAGCTCAGCTTCTGTCTGGTCCAAAATACGACGGAAAATATCTACGGAATCTAATAACTAAGCTTACTGGAGAGGCAAGACTTCACGACACACTAACTAACGTTGTTATACCTACCTTCGACATCAAGAAATTTCAACCCACCATCTTCTCCGCTTACCAGGTAATTTCCTCTCCATATCTCTCTTCTTAACACAAAACATAAACTGAAACCTAAGTTCTTGTTGCACTCTTGATCAATCTAATTAACAGTAATCGATAACTTTCTTTGTACCGTGTTGTTGAAGAAATTTGTTGACCCTAGCTTGGATGTCAAGTTATCAGACATATGCATTGGCACATCGGCTGCTCCTACTTACTTTCCTCCTCATTACTTTCTGAATGAAGATATTCTAGGCAAGAAGTCAGAGTTTAACCTCATTGATGGTGGGGTTACTGCTAATAACCCGGTAAAACGCAACCCTCTTACCATTTTTGTTGTTGTGAATTCGAAACAGAAGTAAATTCTTGTCTGTTTTATTGTGTTTGGTTTTGCTATAGACTATGGTGGCCATGACCGCTGTGTCTAGGCAGATTGTGAAGCAAAATCCTGATATGGGTGAGCTCAAGCCATTAGGTTACAACAAGTTTCTCATTATATCGGTAGGAACAGGGTCTGCGAGAAAGGAGGAGAAGTACAACGCAAGAAAGGCTGCGAAATGGGGAATCTTATCTTGGGTGTATAACGATGGATCTACTCCCATAATAGACATTACTATGGAATCAAGCTCCGACATAGTTCATTTTCACAACTCTGTTATGTTCGAATCCCTACAATCTGAGGACAAGTATCTCAGGATCGACGTAAGAGCTAAACATGATCATAAATTGAAATTAAAATCATATTTCTATTTATATATGAAACTGATTGCAGGATGATACATTGCGAGGAGATGCAACCTCTATGGATCTGGCGACAAAGCCTAACTTAGAAAATCTTGTGAGGATTGGAAAGAAGATGCTGAAAAACAGAGTCATGCATATGAATATCAACACTGGTGTTTATGAACCTATTCCTGAAAATGTCACCAATGATCAAGAGCTCAAGAGGTGATTTAAAACTTTTAAAAGTTTCAAATTTTGTTGAAAAGTTTCTTGTATTGAAAGTAATCTCATTGTTTGATTATTGGTTAATATGCAGGTTCGCGAAAATTCTCTCGGAGGAAAGGAAGTTGAGAAGCAAAACAACGAATAAAGATTCATCAAACTGATCACCAGAGAGGAAATACAGCTCGATGATCGTTCGTGTTTTTGTGTTTAGTTGTATGAAATAATTTACTGCACAAGATGATCGCAATAAAGTTGATGAATCTTGAGTTTGTGTATGGGTGGTGTTTTAAATTCGGCTTAAACAAGAGAAGAATAAATTTAGACGAATACTTTAATTTTGTCTAGGGTTTTTAAAATTATTTTTTTCATTAATTATGTGGATGAATAATTATAAACTCTAAACCCATATTTTTATGTAAGCTTCAAAATCAGATGCCAATACGCCTAATATTTTGAAAATATTCTATTTCTGTTATACTTATATACCATATGGTTTTCCAGACACTTTTCGAGTACTCTTAAAGAGTACATATCCACAGTTAAATCATTCGGTAATATGAAGCACCAAAGAGGAAAACTTTACGATTAAACAACTTTTATCATCGAAAGAACTTTATGATTAAACAATTGTAACTTTCTCAAGAGGATGTTTACTTTTACAAGCACTTGACCCCTTCAAGACCCGTAGACAAAAATAAACGTTCACAAACTTATATGCATGTTACACGCCAAAGATCGAGTATCAATAATATATCTCATTTATATAATTAGGTAACTAAATGCAAAATTGTAAAAGATCAAGCAAAGGAAACAAAGAAACGTGAAGAATTACATAAAATGGTATGAAAGGGTAAGATAATCTTGGATGATCAAGTTTGATATACATAATTTTGCAAACGTGGGACATGGATACATTTTTGTACTACCTGTCACGGCATGGACAGAAAATAAATACTGAGAATGGATATATATATTTCCCAAACTAAAAGTTGGTGAAACTTCAACATAATCAAGACAAAAATTAGAAGATAATCATATTTTCAAGTATTAATATAAAAAGTTTTAAAAAAAAAGTATTATAAAGAAAGCCGGCATCACCAGATCAAGAACTCCATATATAATAGATATTGTTGAACAATATGCATTACTTTGATTTCATAAACATATACTACTTTGATTTTTCTTTTCAACCTGACATTCTAAGTCAAATGAATTAAAATATCGATTAACTACAGTTACAGGCTTCGATTATATATGATAAAAGCATTATCTAAAATGAAAACATAATGCTTAGAGAGGAAACGTAAGAATCTTATGTGACACATGACTTTAGATAGCCAACTGAAAGAGATTTATTATTATATGTAAATATATACCTATAAACTCTTAATTGTATTTCATT